TAGGGAAAGGTTCTTGACTTAACTAGATAAATAAATATAGGCTGGAAATTAAAGAAGATTGTGAACTGTGAGAGCAGAAAGGTGCAGTAAGAGTTTTCCCGTTAAATTAGCGTAGCTTAAAGACCTAAATAATTTTAACTTAGAGATATATCAGCCTATGAAAGGGATTCTGGGACATTTTGCCTGCGATATAGCAGGGAATTGGACTCAGTGACTTAGCCAGTCCCTTCCATTACATTTCTCAATCCTTTTTATTGGAGAATCTTGATTCTGTTGATCATCCCAATCAGTATAACTGAGATGAGAGAGTGGCCACTGCGAATTTCTTTGTTGCTATCCTTGGATTCAAGCCTTGATCCTGCATGCTGAGAAGCATGTCAGGATTTGCTTAGCATGTTGCATGACTGAGCCTGTGATCAGTGAGCTAAGTCATGATTCCTCCATGTCCTAGTTTTTGCTGTAAAATGTTACTTAAATTGTAAGCTTTCTGAGGTAGGGGCCATCCTTTTGTCTAGTATTTATACAGCATAAACACAGTAGGGTCTTGGTTCTAGACTGTGGCTTCTGGGTGCTATTACCATTATCAGGTAGTGCTTGTAGAGGATCGGAACCTGGGACCTGGAGAAGGAGCTCCCTCAGAAATGCTAGAGGTAGGCAGCTGAAGTAGCTGGACCCAAGTGGGAGAAGATGAAGGAATAATGTGGGCAGAAAGGGCACAAGCAGAAGTTACATTTGTCAAATGATCAGCTCCCTGAAAGTCTTCTACAGCCATACCATGATACACATGCACAACTGCAGAGTGCTGTTAAAGTGACTGTTCATGCAACAAATTAAACCTCATCTAACAAGGGATCAGATGAAGGCACTCCACTTTGGAGCACCTTAGGGAACTTGTGTTCACTAGGCTTAATATGTCATGCAATCGAGGCTGGGCTGATGCAGCCCAGACCCACCCCTGGGACTGTCCAAAGGAGCGGGGGGGGGATGAGGGAAGGAGAGTGAGCTGTGGCTGGGATTTGCCCACACTGAACTGTGGGGGGAGGGGTGGAGCCCATCTGCCTTGCACACTTCCTCCCCCAGCTCAGGCCAGGGGAGTGAGCTGCAGCTGGGGTTTGCACATTCTGACCTGCAGGGGAAGGCAAGTGGACTAGAGCACCCCTCCTTCATCCCCTCCCCACTCTAGATCAGGTTGGGTAAACCGCAGGTGGCAGCTTGCTCCTCCTTCCCTATCTGCCTTCCTTTCCTGCAGACAGTCATAGAGCTGCAGTGGGGGCCAGGGCTAGGAAAGAGAGGCTGCAGACAGGCTTAATCCTCCTCCTCTCCTCCCTGACCCAACAGGGGAATGACTGCTGGTTCAGGGCAGAGGGGGGCACTCTAACTCATGGCACTTTATAGATTTCATAGACATTAGGGCTAGAAGGGACCTTGGAAGATCATCAAGTCCAGCCCCCTGCTCCAGGGGCAGGAAGTCAGCTGAGGTCACAGGATCCCAGCAAGATAAACATCAAATTGACTCTTAAGGGAATCCAGAGTAAGTTGCATCATTACAGTGAAATGAAAGCTGTTTCACCAGGGCTTTATAATCATGTTGCTAAAAAATCTTCTCTGGGCCCCAAATTAGTATACAAGGTCTAAGTCCAGAAGAGCTCTCTGAAAGTTTTAGAACGGGTTCATTCATTCAAGTTGTAGAGATGCTACATCACCTCCTGCTATTATCACCATCCTTTTGTATATTTAAGCAGAGGAATCTAAAACTTAAGTTTGTTGTGTTTTCTAGTAGTCAGTCTCAACATCAATACAGAAAATTATGGAAGCCAGCTTAGTATGTGAAGCATGAGCTACATTTTCAAAAAGCACATGCAACAACTAACATCTGACAATTCCAACCCCGTAAGGGCCATTCAAATAGAAACACATACCCTATCGAGACATAGATACCCCAAGATATCTTGATCCTGGCAAGTAGAGCACTAGGTGCAAATACAATGTAAAGCGCCATGAGTTAGAGAGCGAGGGCCTGCACATCTGTCAGCACCCAAAGTGGCTGCTACTCCATTGTGAAATAATTCTGCTCCTCCCCTCTGGGTAGGTTTCAGTCTATCTGCATGTTTTTTCATGAGGGTTGTTCTTTTTTTTTTCATGTTGTGAGTCCAGTCTTCTGAATAAGCAGCACAGAAAGGTGAGGATGGCTTTTTTTTTTGGTAAAGATATTTACTAGGTATTGGCTCTCTGAGACTAAATGGAAATTTTCCCAGTGATTTTTTTTGGTGAGGCTCTGAAATTGGGTCCTACTGCAGAAACCCATGCTGCCTGTAAAATTTAGTGCCAATTAAGTCTTTGGAAATGGACAGCCTGTAAGCAACAATCTTTCTTTTCCATGGAGAAACAATAGATAGGTCAAGAAGAAGTAGGAAAGAGCTCTAGGCCAATCTTGAAGCTTCCAAGTAATTATCTCTTTATGTAGGAGGGGTCCAAAGCACAGTGACAATTACATGCTATAATCCAGTAGAAGCAAAGATCTCTAAGTGGATGGTGAGCCCTCCATGTTCATCTTTTTTTTGTGGCAAGGATCATTTAGGGGCTACGTCACTGTTGTCTGAACCCTCATGGTGAAGTAGCTGTGAAAGTGTCACTCCCAGTTCAGTTTCTACCTGGACTGTTGAGGGCCCAGTAAGGAGCAATTCTAGTTGCCTCTGATGGCATCATCACTGTATTATCTAAGTGCCTTGAAGTCACTAGCATAACTGAAAGGTGCACTGCCTAAGTTACAGGTATGTGCTATCATATAGGATATGTTTAATTCTTCTTTGGTGGCTGCCTAAGAAACTTGTTAAGAAGCTTCCTATAAAATTTGCCTGATTTTGCTGTATTAACACATTAACAGATATGCTGCATCATGCATACATTTTATACATACAGGATGTGTCCAACATGCATGCACCTTTGGTTCCCTGGGGCCAACTAGCAGCGGTGCACCTTACGCCACAGCTATTTGTCCCCAGGGAATGCCCATGTCATGTGTGCTTTGGCATGCAGCAAGTTACCCCAGGGGTGGCATGGGAGGCTGGGGCCAGCACTGTGCTGGCCCCAGCAGCTTTACTTGGGGGCCTGGGGGCCTCCTGGGGCTGCAGCCATGGCGATCCTGCTGGGCAGAACTTGGCCAGCAGCCACAGCACAGCTCTTGGTGGCCCAGCTCCGTTTTTCAGCAGTGCATGCTGCTGAGCGTGTGCTGCACCAGGTTTTTTTTCTGGGTTCTTTTTCCTTTTGACCCCTGGATATTCAGGGGTCGAAAAAACCTGCAGAAAAAAAAATGATGCAGTGCACAATCGGGCAGTGCTCCCTTGCAGGGCAGGGAACACCTCAGTGTGCAGTATGTGGCACTGCAAACATGTTGCACGACTGTGCTCATCTAGACACACCCATTGGCAATGCATAGGGGTACACGCAGGTGCACATGCACCCCCTGAGTGTGGCGATGCACTGCCTGCGAAAAGGCGCCGCTGACATTGTCGGTGATGCCTGTGGTCATTCGCCACTCGCCACCCCCACTGCCACCAACACCGCCAGTGGCATCTGCGGGTAGTCACTGATTGCCACTGGCCACTGCTGCCACTTCCAGCAGCATCTGCAGGTGGTCGCCAACCACTGGTCAGCGCTCGCCACCCCCATCCCGACAGCACTGTGGCTGCCTGCAGCAGTTCCCCACTTGCCTCCGCCACACTCCTACTGTTGACAGTGCCACTGCTGCCTACAGGATCTCACCATGCCCCCCCCAGACTCCAGGGACATGTGGCGTTCATGGACTCACCTACAAACTCTAATGAAGTTGCTGCCATTGAAGTCAATGGTAATTTTGTTATTGACTTCAAAAGGAGCTGGATATAAGTATTCAACTCTGTTTTCAACTCTGACCATCGTACAGTTTGGCCTTAAATTGAGGTCCAACTCATGCTGGTTAGGATTGAAAAATCTATTGACAAAAACGTTGTAGCCACTTGACTGCTTCTCTGTGTTCTCTGTACAAGTAGGAAGGTATCACCTTCTTCATGGTTAGATGTTCCTGGGGCTATGTCCTGCCATAATGTGGAGATGAGACCAGTGTCCTTCCCTGAGGAAGGACCATAGGATCAGGCCACTTCCCTGTTGAAGTGCTGACTAGAATGAACCACTGGGACGAGTCAAGGGAACTGGCTCTCTTAACTGAGGGGAATTAATTGTGAGGGGAGCCCTGGGAATCTCTCTGGTCATTTCTGAGTTTTTGTCATCTTTATTGGGGAGGTAGTAAATGGAGCAGTGGCGTGTAAAAGAGCCACATCACAGACTAGAACAACCATCAGCATCAATAAACTAAACCAATGGGCCTGGAGAGGGAAATTATGTAACACTATATGGTGACATTGTTGGAGAATCAAGGGCAGGGACTGAGTTTTTTCCTCTCACTCAGTGGTTAGACTGCTGTGAGACCCCTCCCTGCTGAGCTTTCCAACCAGCATTCATGCATTATCTATTTGTCCTCCCTCAGGAAAAAGATTAACTTGAAATTAGTGTCATGATAGACACCGGGAGCTCAGACAGGCATCCAGAATTTGCACAGCTCATCTTGGGATAGAAGGGGCAAGGATATGTCTTTACTGAGTCACTTGTTATTCCAAGGATGCAAAAGGATCTCACCACTTTGAAAAGGAAGAGAAGGTTCTTGTTACTGGTAATAAGGGTTGGAAAGGCTTCTTTCCCCCTAGTATAGCTTGTAGCAGATCTGGGGCTGGAAGGTGGCAGCTGCCTCTGTGGAGCTTATCAGACTACAGAATATTAGGCTCTAGCTCAGGGGCAGGCAATTATTTTGGGCAGAGGGCTGCTTACTGAGTTTTGGCAAGCCATCAAGGGCCACATGACAGGCAGCCCAGGGCAGATTAATATTAATTTTCTAAATGTTTTAGGGGCCCCGCGGGCCGGATAGAATGTCCTGGCGGGCCGCATCCGGGCCCCAGGTCGCATTTTGCCCACCCCTGCATCTAGCTGTATTGTGTATTTTGCGCTTAGCTGGACAAGGGTAGATACCCTGCACCAATGGGAGCCCAATGGTAGGTAAGGCTCTGGCTTCTAGCATTCTGCCAGTTGGTTTAACTGATGTGATAGCAAAGCTATTGTCATTTCTGGTGTGTACCTGGGCTCCTACTGCTGCAACTAATGTAACTAGTCACAATTCTCCTTAAAATTCCCCCCTGAAATGAATACAAGGCTTCCCTGTTAAGGGTTTAACAAGCAGGTAAAGAGTGGGCAGGGAAAAGCCCAGAAAGCCAGTATTTTGAATGAATATTATGTTAGATTTTCAGTCGGTGACTTACTGAAAGGAAAGGGGAATTGCAGCTAGTGGAGCCAGTGGGAAACAGCCTCTGCCATGTGATAGCGTATTCAGTCTTGTAATCCTGGTAGAACTCAGTAACTGAAAGTAGGAAACAAAGCTGAGTGTCAGGAAGAAACTTTTGTGTGCGTGACACCTTTATTGCATGCTGTGGCACACTGGCAGCTTTCAGGTCTCCTTCCATGGAAATGTAAAAACATTAAGACAGAGGCCTGAGCCAAACCTTTTATACTGAAAGCCCTGCAATGTTAGCAGTGTTCGACTCCAAGTGGGTCCAAGCCACAAAATTCCTAACCCGAACAAAGACAAACAAGAATTAGTTACATGCATAGGACAACTTTTATTTTGCACATGTTGGCAACACCCAGATGTGGATTTTATATACCTAGTTAGGTCCTTACATCCCTTCTGCATGCATACAAAATGGAGGGGAGTTGTTTTGCCTTTATCAAGCCAAGTCACTGATCTTGATATTATTTTTGTTTTTTTCCACCAGAGGGCACTCGCTGTTCAGCTAATGTAACTCAAAAGGTGCCACTGTGGTAAAAAGCCCAGATCTCTGTCTCAGTCCTGGGGTGTAGGTAATTGGGGAAAAGGGGGTGTGTTAAGTAAGAAAAAGGCTTGGAGTTATGTAGCTAAAACCAAGTTGGAAGCTGTCCAGTTCTGTTAAGTAAAGTAGCAGTTCAGTCTCTGCCTCTCACTCACTGAGCACAGGGAAGCCTCTTATCTGCTGCTTTCTATCTTGGCCTCCCTTTTTCTGAGCTTGTGGTCCTCACTCGGGCAGAAGTCTTAACGATTTCAAGGAGCCCACTGATCATATTCCCTGAATGAAAGAGCCAAAGCTTTGTTCCTCAGGGAAGGTGGGAAGTAAGAGCTGGACTCGATCCATTCCCGTGCTTCAGAATGCAAATACAGTATAGATCCCCAGAGAAAGTGTATTTGGTTTGATTCTAGTTTCTCATGGACTTTTGTTTCTCTTACTTGCAGGTACATGTGAACGCCCATACCCACAACCTACTACCAAACTAATTAGTACAATTGGCAGCCTCTTCTCAGGAGAGAATTGTGTGCCAGGGGAAAAGTGGTTCTCCAAAACACTGCCTGAACTCCATGTGCCATGTAGCATGAGTCCCTCATGCCTAGAGGTTGTACCAAGAAGTTGACAACGTGGAAGGAAAGAGTATGTACCTGAAAGTACAAAGGTTTTTGGTTTTGACACTGATAAGGCAACTGTGACTGTGAGGCGCCGGAGGTGTTCAGCCCTGTGCTGGTGGTTTGGCTTCCCTTTTTGAAAAACGGTGTATTAAGCTCTTAAATGGGTTTATAGGAAGATAACTCCCTGAAGTGCACTTGTGTCAGACCCCTCGTGACATGACAGCTCACTCCTTTCTAGCTGTGCTTCTGCATCTCTGATTCAGTTAATGAACAAAGTGCATCTCTACCCCACCTTCTAACTGTGTTTCTGAGATTTTTAGGGCATGCAGCAGATTCAGGAAAGCAGTACTTCCCTCCCTAGTGTGTCTTATGCCAACTGGCTACAGTATAAGATGCCCATAAAAGTCATTGCCAAACCATAATTCATTGACAAAGTGGAACTGGTGTGATACAGTACCACGCCTGCTGAGTAAAAGCAAAATCTACAACCACTGGATTAGGAATTAATTTATGAATCAAATGGAACTGCAACAATAAGCATGCTTTGACCTTTGTGTGACATTTGTCTTGCATGCACACCAACCTCTGGCTTCTTTACTATTCATTCCATCCAGGAAGAGCACACACCAACTGCAGATGCTTCCTCAGCCTGACAAAGGGTATTTGTACCTGAAAGCTTGCAAAGGAGAATTTTCCAACTATTTGAGTTGGTCTAATAAAAGATACCAGATTTACCTAGAGAACCTTGTCTGCCTATGTCCTTAGACCAACACGGCTACAACCTATACCCCTGTAACCTGGCTGGTTTCACACTGCAGTGATTCAGATTAACAGTGTACACATGGATCTTATGAGAACTAACCAGAGAATGATGCTTCCATTTACTGGCAAATATTAAGCTTCAAAATGGTTAGAACAAGACCACTGAAACTTCTTGGAAAAAAAGAAAGAAAGAAAATATGCCCCACAAAAATCCATTCTCTTGAACAAATATGGGAGCTTTTTTATTCAAAAGCAGGCCCCTGGGTGGTGTCTTATCTGAGACCTCTGTGCATCAAGCAGCAAAGAGACTCAAGTCAGATTTTCTTACATCTCAGCTCATGCCCTAAACATGTTTATTGCACAAGGAAAACATTTTTTTCCAGTTCAGACTGATGTAGGGAGAACAAAGCAGTGAGGAATAAGAAACTAAAGTAAGTCAAGACAAACTCTTTTTCAATTGTGCTCACTGTGTTGTGTTTCAGAAGCCCTCAGCATCAGTCAGAGCAGAGGTATGTGCATAGCAAGGCCACTGCATCCTTATTAAGCATGGTTATTTGGGACCCAACAATGCCTGGGTGGCTTCTTCATGATACATTTGTTTAATGAGGAATGGAAGATACAGAAGGCACAGCAGAAAGGACCTGAAATTACTAAGATTCTGGTTTTCTGAACTAGGGGCTCCTGTGAGTCCTTGGGAAAGTCTTGTGGTCTCCTGGAAAAGGATTAAGATTTGATGTGGAAAGGTTGACCAAACTGTAGGATACCTGACAACCCTGTATGGATTTTGAAGTAAGGCTATTCCTCTCTTTTGAACCCTATTTCAAGGAAGACTTTCAGGAACACTTTTCATTGGTATACTGATCCTTCTTTTACCACATGGATGCTAATACCCACTGGGGGTATCATAGTCTCATAAGCAGTATATAAGTGGCCCTGGATGAATGTCAACCTCTGTAACCTCATGAATAGCATAGACGTAAATCCTCTTTCTAGGGAGTAATAGAACTGCAAAGTGTGAAATTCTGTATTTGCTTATATCTTGGGAAGCCACTGGGCAAGGCTGCAACCTGAATTTTGCTTGCATATGATTTCAGGGAGGAAGTGAATTCAAAACATTGGTAACACTCCTTGGAAGAGCCTCTTTAGTTGTGCTTTAATCTGCCTTTGGCCTCAGCTGATCTGGAAACCGCCAGGAAACTTGCTGTAAGTCAAATATATCTGCCTGAGATGACCTTTCTTGGGAAGAAAAATTAACTGGTAAACCACTCATGATATGGTAATCATGACACAAATGTACAGAAAAAATCACAGCTGGGTCCCATCTAGCATCCTTAAGTAGGGCTCTGTCACTATTCTCCTCTCAAAAAAAGTGAGTTAATTCTACAAAGCAGCTAAAATGATGACAGGATTAATTAGATATCGAGCTTCAGAGTGCAAACTGATTGACAACCAGATCAGGATGGTAATCCCAATCCCCATTCAAATGCAATGCACAATTTGCCAGTGGTCTTATGGGGAAGGTCTGTGGTACAGCAATCCTACGTAAAAGCATTCATTGATGTCTGTACTGTACCTGGAATGTGGCAAGTTTTATATAAATGCCAACTATCATTACTCCTCAAAAAATAAAACACAGGAGTAGTTAAATGTTAGTATCTAAGGAAAACCTTAAGGGAATACTGCTGTGTTTTTATTACTGTCTTTGATGACTGTAGAACAAAAACAGAAACAAAATCCTGTAATCAGAACACATAGGTTAAAGGAAGGAAAGTGCAATGCAGCAATTAAAGAATACCCCCAAAATACTTTAGACTCTGATGTGATTGAATTGGGGCCTTTACCTGCAGAGAGATGCCATTTTAATGAGGATTACAACAGACAAAGAACATCTTTAAGGTCATGACAATCAACAATCAAAGCAGTGGTCAAAGATACCAGAAACAGTAGGAGACTTTTCAGAGCTCTCTTCAGATGTCTGGAGGTTTTTTTCCCCTCCCTGACCTTTTTCTTTCTGTTTGAGGGCAGATAGAATCATTAAACCAAGAAGAAAAAGTTGATGGTAGAGGAGCCAAAGTAAAAATAATATAAAATAGAGAATGTATCAAACAGCAGCTGTGGAAACTCCTGGAGCCTTCTGTTTCTGGTTCTAGCTTCTGTCTTCCTCTCTTGGTTCATGTTTTTCAGCTGACGTGGCTTCTTTCTGCATCTTTATTTCAATGTGTTTACACAGAGGGCATTATTAATAAAGAGTTATTTGTCACATAAACTAATCATGTCTTCCATTGGATCAAACCAAATGATTGGAAATTGTTGCTACAGCTTATCATGGTTTTCCTGTAGTTTGTGATCCTTTTACTGCTATTATCAGAAGCAAAAATGAAGCTAGATGAGGCTGTTTTGCTTGAATAGTCTCTGCCCTCCCATATCTTATTTGTGGCTAATGATCTCTTATTTTGCATATGGGGAAGAAGAACCCAATAGGAACATATGAAATAGGAGATCTACAGTTATATGTTAATTTGAGGAAGAACAAAAGAATATAAAAGAACTCCAGTGGTCCATAGTCAATAGTGGCATAGGCAATAACAGATCTATATGTTAAGTGTTAATTTGAGGAAGGAGAGAGAAAAAAAAAACCCCAAAAGCCCTTCTTAATTCCATGCTGGAATTGATGGGTAATTGATGTTATGCATATGTGATTCTGTCGTGGTACAATTTCGCCCCAGGATGAAGTAGGATTAAAGTTGGGGCATGAGCCTATAGTACAGTTTTGCTGTACTATAGGCTCATGCACACCTAACAATTACAGCATAACAGCTGCTGCATCTGGAGCAGCAGCTCCTCCTTCTTCCCTTTAGAAGCTATTATAAGTGCATGTTTATCCATGTCCTCATTTGGGCCAGTTTGGTAAGTATGTCTATTACATCCACAGTGGCATGCAGTCAGTAGCCTAAGACAGCCCATACTGCTCTGAACAAGTTAATCTACTAAGTGCCATAGTCACAGTGCAATAAATACTACCTAAAATATAGACAAGCTGGATACTATTTCTGACATGATAAACAATGTTGGCATTTAAGCTGTTGCCATAAAGCTGTGGTAAGCATTTTATTAAGATGACAGGGCACAGTTCACACCTACCTACAAGTCATTACTTTGAGGTT